GTACAGTGAAGGTAAAAAGGCTAAAACAATAAAGAGTTAACAAGTCTAGCAGGCCCTAGACGTAAGGAAAACGTAGAGCTGAGTCTGCAGTGCCCGTACCACAAAAGTCTCAGTTACAAAGGAGTACTTAGAGAAATAGACAGGTCAAGTGGTCCTTGATCACGGTAGGGCGGTAAAGGTTGTCGTCCAATTGAAAAACAAATGAAAACAGAAAGCGATAGAAGAAAAGGTTAGGGTCGGGTTGAGAAGGGTTTATTCTTAAAGAGTGGGAAAGTCCACGTGACTCGCCAGGTAATGTAAACAGATCCGTTAGGTAAACCGAAGCAAGAGAAGTGCTGTCTCAGAAGTCTAAATGAATTGGGTGAGTAGAAGGCCTACTAAGCGTGACTGGATTAATAGGCGCTTTGTGATTAAGGCGTAGGATGAAGGTAATAAAATAGATAAATAAATGACGAGTGAACGAATCTAGCAGTCCCTCAAGGCAAGGGTGCCAGAGTTAAGTCTGCGGAGCCAATACCGGTGGGATAAGAGCAGTCAGACAGAAGCAGACTGGTTAGGTGAGACAAGCTCACGGCAGAGCAGTAAAGCTGACCGTCCGAATGAAAAAGGAATGAAAGCAGAAAACGATATGAGAAAAGGTTAGGATCGGGTTGCGAAGGGTTTATTGCTGGAGAGTGGAAAACCCACGAGGCTCACCCGGTAATGTAAACCGATCCATTAGGTCAGCGGAACCTAGAGAGCTAACGTCCTAGAAGTCCGAGTAAGTTCGATGAGCATGAAGTCGACTAGGCGGGGCTGGATTAGTCGGCGTGTTGGAAGTATAATGTATAAACGTGTAAAAAAGGCTATAATAATAAAGTGTGAACAAATTTAGCAGGATCTAAAGGTAAGGGAAACCAAGCGTTGAGTCTACAAAGTCCATAACACTTGAGCTACATATGTAAAGGAGCAGTCAGAGTGAAACAGACTGGTCAGGTGAGACAAGGTCACGGCAGGGCAGTACAACGGGACGTTTGATTATAAACGAGATGAAAACACAGAGCGCGATAAGCAAGAAAAGGTTATGGTTGGGATGAGAATGCTTTATTGATAAAGAGCGGAGAAGCCCACTAGGCTCTCCAGGTAATGTAAACAGTTGCATTAGGTCAGCCGAACTAAGAGAGGTAACGTGAAAAAGGCTGTAACAATAAAGAGTGAAATAGTCTAGCAGGCTCTAGAAGTGAGGGAAGCATAGTGTTGAGCCTGCAGAGCGAATACCGTTTAATTATAGGTAGTATGGAAACGGTCAGCGGGAAATAAATTGGTTAGGTAATACTAGACCCACAGCAGGGCAGTGAGAGCACGTCATCCGATGAAAGAATGTTTGAGAACATAGAGCGTGCAAAGAATAGGTTAGAATCGGGATGAGAAGGTTTTATTGATTAAGAGTGGAGGAGCCCACGCCACTTTCCAGATGATGTAAACAGAACTTTGGGTCAGCCGAACCAATGTTTGTAACGTCGAAGAAATCTGAGTGAAATCGAAAAACAAAAAGGCCGACCTAGGGAGACTGGATTAGTCGGCGCATAGGACTAGCACGTACAACAGAGGCAGAAAAGGGCTGTAACAATAGAGGGTGAACGAGTCTAGCAGCATCTCGGGGTAGAGGAACCAGAGCCTTGAGTCTGCATAGCGTATACCGCTTAAGTCATGGTATCAAAGGAGCAGTCAGAGAGAAAGCGACTGGTCAGTTGGACTAAAGCACAGCAGAGTGACGAGGTCCAGCACTCCAGTTGAAGGAGAAATGAAAACAGCGCGATAAACTAAAGGTAACGGTCGAGATGAGAAACGTTTATTGACTAAAGGTGGGATAGACCCACGAGGCTTTCCAGGTAATATAAGCGGATAGTTGAGTCAACCGTACCAAGCATGGTGATGTCTCAGAAATCTGAATGAATCCGGAGAGCAGGAGGCCGATCGGGTAGGACTGGATTAGTCGGCGCGTTTGGTTAAGGACATTTACTACCAAAAGCAATCAATACGTCACTTTCTTGAAGTTTTAATTTGTGGTTTAATTACGGAAATAAATAAATAAATAAATAATTTATTCTCAGTTTCATAGAATGCATCGTTCTGTGTATATTTGCCACAGTTCCACTATGCTTACCTCAGGTCCAAAGACATCAGCTTCGAGCGAAATTCGATTTTGTACTTGAGTATATATACTGCGTGCTTTGAACAGCAAACTTAATCCAGATCATACCAAGATGCTACTTCACCATCGTAAAATGTTAATTTGTCTTTTCTTCTCAGTAAAATTCCAACTTTAACATGCAGCTGCATGCCAAACCTGCGACCATCAATCTACAGATTTTTAGTTACGGTCACTTTTGTGCCGAAACATGAGAACTATCTTCTAACGATTTATAACTCCCGAACAAGCTGCGTCCGACAGATTGCTATCCAGTGCCACAAATAAATACACTTAACTAGATTTATAAACAAATAAATAAGTGGTGGGCCAGCGTTGGGAAGACCTACACGCAAATATATCCATTAAATACATAAATGGTATATTCCAGCGTATAGAGGGGGCACACCAGGATAAGCATGATCAGTTAGTCACAATCATAAATAAATACGTCAATCACAATTGATCGGTAATAAGTCCAAATGAAAATGCGCTGCTATTGGGATCTCATGACTGCTAAATTTTTATAATGCGCGAAAGAGAATAGAGCGTTGTAGTACAGGTTGCGGTCATTTTGGTTAGAGAAATGGCACTACGTTTACACCGTTTTTTCACTTGAATAATTGCAGTCAATGTTCGCCATTTCCCGTTTGCTTGTCCAGTTGCCATAAGTCTAGAGCGTGGTTCTATCAGTGGAAATAAAGGGTGTTCATCTCGGGAATAGTGCAACAGTATTGCGTACATTTCTATAGAATTTTCTTTTACAAATTCACTGCAGCTTTGCGGATTCTTTTAGTTTCCATAAATATCCTCTGACCTGAAGCGGTTGGCATCCTCCTAGTTTGTGAGTGATCCAGGCAGAAGGTGCAAGGATGGTTCCCTGCGTCAAGGCAACTCCAATGGAATTGGATATGGGCTGGATGGTAGGATCAACAGCTTGAATACACATGAAGTTCAACGCCTTAGGCACCTACTGACTGCCGGAGCCGTGGGCCAGAAATTCAGGGAAGGTGTTGAATTCCGTTAGGTGATGGCCTGTTTGGACGGTTATTGAAGCCGGGTTTCGCTGCGTGCCCCAGGGACCAAGTAGGTGTAGCAGGCAAGTCCACGAAAATTATCCTTCGCGTTGGATTCCAACCTCTGTGGAGTCGGAGAAGAAAGACTGCTTATGAGCTAAAACCGCCATGAAAATTAACTGGGACAATGTTAGTGAACATATTGTACAACGAAAATGATGATTGTAAACGTCGTATGGGCAAAGAACAAAGGTATTGTAACGGGTCTCATCTTTTACGCATATTTCCTATACATGCCAAGCATCAACCAAGGTTGTAAGCGTTACAGAGCTGTGAACTGTATGCCGTATGGACTAATAGAACTTGGCTAGGTATCATCTACTGACTACTGTCAAGGCTGTAGAAGATAAATATTACTTCATCGGACGAAACAGTCAGCGTGGTAATAACCCATAAATCCCCAAAGTGAAAAAACGGACCACAAACGGTATAGCTAGGCACGCGGGTATAGGTATTCCGATGTCTATACAGTCAGCAAGGCATGCGCAATATACTGGAGAAGTCATAGCAACAGTCAAGCAGAGATGGAAAGAAAGTATTAGAACCACGTCGGATTAGGCACTGGATCTGCAGGCAGGTAGCTGTAGCTGAGTCAGACGGCCTTTGGGAATGGATAAGTGGTATCGCCCTGATCGTAAAGCAAGTATAAGCACATATGATTCTAAGCCACTAAAACGAATAAGCGGTTGTGTCGGGTTGTTGTGGCTAGTCGGGAGTAAAAAATGCAAAAGCAACAAGTGACCTAGGTGTTCGAACGCACAATGTAGGTGCAAAGCATTGCTTTATTTATTCTATGCTTCCGGCATACGTGGAATTCTACAACGTCAAATGGCAAGTCTATTAAGCAGCGTAGGTAGGTGCTTCATAGAAGAGAGTAAAAGCTAGTAGCAACCATACACGCCGCCAAGACTTTCCCTTGTTGAAGTAGTATAACCAATAGGTGACCACACTATACTGTCAGCCAGCGTCTACGTTAAGTTACGCCAATAATAGTAAGCCGCATCTAATATTTTGACATGCCGTACAACAACTCTAGAAGCCATTTGAAACATGTCGAAGTAGAATTCCTTTAATAAGTAACATTGTAATAGGCGTAGACAAATGTTAACTTGTTTCCTATGAACTTTTAGCTTATTGCCCAGTTGAATGTAGTTCCATGCAAGCCGCCACATGAGGTTGCGCTACACTAGCAGGGCGGATTTAAAGCTGGGTAAGTGCGTATTGTCCTTTACCTGCCCCTTTTCCTTCATTGCGCGTCAGTAAAACAAGTATAACCCCTCCTACTTGCACGGTTGCTTGCATCAAATGTGAAAGTCTATACGTAATAACCACAGGATTAATAATTATTACTTAGCCGTATTCTTGTGCCTACGGCTTGCTGCATTCCTTCTTGAAAACCTTGGCCATATAATCACCACAAATTCACCACTCAGCGGACACTGATGGTAGAAAAATGCTTTACGTTCACATACTCTAGTGCACGCGTCCAAATGATCATGGCGTGTTACAAATATGTATTATCGAATGCTTAAGTGCCAATAGCCCGCGCTCTGTGGAAAATGCTAAATAAATCAGAACTTTGTTATGTTAAAAGAGTGAAAAATACAAAAGGACGTAAGCGTTGTCGAATCAACTATCACTGATTTGTTTACCCAAAAACACATTCGGCGATTTGTTTAGCGAAGTACGGGACCCACTTAAGTGACCTTCATCACGGGCCATTTAAACCGCACATCTTTTATCGTGCTCACTCGATGCCGATCAGGTTGAATTTTAAACGTACACACAGATACAATGTATCGGCAAAAGACTTACATGTCATAAAAATTTACACCCTTGATGGAACATGTGTTGAATACACCGTCACTTCTACGACAACTGGTAAAGATGCTTTGGAATATGTATCGCAGCGCCTGGATATTGACAACGTAGGTGCAATTATATACGTTTATATAAAAAGTAGATTTGTGTTTTTGGATTGAGATATGAAGGTTGGTCTGGGGACTCAAGATGGCTGTTTCTTAACAAATCAGTGAAAAAGCAGTTGGACAGATATGCCCGACAACATGTGCTTACACTTACAGTCATGCTTTTTATTAACAATCCCCAATTCATCTCAGACACACAGCTGAGGTAATTTCATATTTCTTACCCAACCTTTACAGACGATTCTTCTATTTGCAACTACGTGAGGATGTAGCGACTGGTTTGTTACCAGTCACATTAAAATTGGGGATAAAACTGAGTGCGTATAGTTTGCAGGGTAAGCAAAGTAATATAGGCAGCAAGCACATAGTAATATTCTTTTTGACTTGGAGAAGGTTATACAGCAATGATAAACAAAGACTGTATTCTTCTGCTACTAATTTTGTTAACAGTTATATTCTGTTGTTGGCCGCCAGTAGCCTTAAGGTAACGAGCCAGTCTTCTATGCTGACTGCGAGGGTTTGAGCTCTCGTAGAGGCAGGATGCCTTTTGCGGTATTCTAAGCCCGCATGCGACCGGTAGTTGGTGCGCGGTAATGAAGCGTCGATACTGCATACCGACTTACTGCTGATGCCCCCTATGTTTTGCCGTTACAGTATGTGATGTTTTGAGCAGCTCAAAGCTATGGCAGAATCATACTTAGTTAGCTTGTGAAAAAATCACTTTATTCATGCCTTGTAAATATTATTTAAGGCATATGTTAGTTTCCATTGCACCTAGCTATCAACAAGTATTTATGTATTTTACTGCCGTAAAATCTCATTCATATTCGTTATTCATATTTTTATCTCATTTATCTACCTTTTTTGTGACACAACTACTTTATCTAATTGCTTTTAGCGGACTTTGGTGACTTTATAAATGTGGACACAACCTTGGCTAACTGGAGAGCTCGTTCGTCCACATGCGGGGTATGCATATTTTTCAGAGTCATGCACATAATTGTGGGCAAGTTGATTATGAAGAATGTAGCAGAATTATGTTTGCAGGTTATGAAAATATTATACACGAACGTTCGTTCTATTTGCCTACTGCAGACCTCAAAGAAACAATTTCGTAAATTATCAGGCAAATTTAGATTTACCTGACGTTCTGGTTCCACCCGCAAGTTATTAACCACCATAGAGTGAAGAGGCCTTCTCGACTGACATAGACTCGTTCGCAACCAATTTGTTTAGCTCGGGGACAAACAAACAACACTACTGCGAACCCGGCTACCGATAATTTACGTTATTGCAAACCTGTGACCACACACTAAAGGAGGAAGAAAACCAAGTATTTGCCTCTTCTGGGTGGGCTTGTAAATTTAAATACACTGTTATTAGCGTTATATCTCTATGACTTTAGTTAAGTAACATCATCAAAGCAACAACTAAAGCAAACGACAGCTGTGTGGTAGGCTTTTGTTCCAAATTGTTCTGGCGTACACGGAGTCATAATTAGCTTTTGCAGCTGTGTAACATTGAGTCAGAAATTGAATTGAATTATGTTCATTAGACATTGCATTAGGCGAGGCAGGACACCAGTACAATGATAAACTAAATAATAGTAATAGGATGTTATTAGCAAAATGGATTAATAGTTGTAAGCATGTGCAATTCCTGACTTGGGGATTGTAACTAAAACAACTAAATGTTTAAGCATGTCTGATCTCTGACCGTTGTGTGGATTATTAATGGATGGTTAGTAGATTTTCAAATTCATCTTGGCACATACCTCGAGCAGAAGGATAGTGAGCAATCCGCCTATAAGCTTCCAAGACAGTTTATGTAAAATAATCTTTATTGTAACAAATATAGTAACTAAAGGTGAGTTACTATTACCATATTCTACCGGCAGTTATTTATATATAGGTTGAGATAGCAAATTCCGCTGATAAAATAATAGGATTTATCTGATGTTTCTGTAATAAGTAAGGTAAAGTTGTTTGCTTTGGCTATTGACAAAAGCATTTTAATTTTTCCGTAGGTTGGCATATTTGTCACAATCTTCTTTCATCTACTATAAATATTCATTTAAAAAGAGGGCACCAATTTGTTGATTAGTGGAATATCAAATACACAAAAGCAGCGGTTTTACAGATATAGCTAAACTTTTAGCAAAAGTAATGAGCAAAAATATATAACACCAGGTACGTTTAATCAAATCTCTAGAAAATGCGGGCTATTTCTGCTGTATAACTTTGCTACCTTACAATGCACGAATAGTACGCAACCGACATTGAATGGACAGACATTGTTAAAGTATTGGGTCAAAGAATCAAGTAAAATTTATATCACTAATGAGATAGCCTTACTTTATGGACCATTAATGCAATAGGCCAAGAAAGCCATGTAGTTTTTCTGAGCCATCAAGAGCTGGCCCTTCAAACCATGGATTTTCTAGCATTAGTATAGATTTGATATTATGTTTGAAGTTTAGCGGAAAGTCACTAATGTAGTTAGAAGAGTGCAAGTAAAGTACACAAGCTTGGGAACTTTAATAACTATATACACTGGCTGATAAGGTGTATTGCGCAGCCTCGCTTTTGTTAGTCTGCTGTCTAGAAAATACGGGATCTAAGAGCAAGAGCTGCTACTGGCAATACTTTTGCAGGGCGTACAAATTAGTTATTGATTTGAGTCCTTGTCAAAAGCGTCGCTAAAATCTACGTAGTTAACACCTAAGGTTTAACCTGCGTTGAGCGCTATTGTTTATTTTCTCTCAGAAATAGTATATTAGTGCTGCAAATGCTTCCCTTCTGGAAGCAAAGCAGTGTTGAAAATGTGATACTCTATTCCTAACAGTGCTTTTGGAGAACGTTTTAGCTAACCTTTCCATGATCTTAGAGTGTAGTGATGTCATTTGGGTAAAACGAAAAGTCGTGCGACACCGGGTTTTCGCCTTTGTGCCTGAGCATTACAAAACTTGTCTTCCAGTAAATGAACAGGCATTTATATTTGAGACACAGCAGAAAGTTTTGTCTGATAGGCATGGTCGCGTAATTATCCACTGTGTTTAGGAACCGCAGATGAAATCCTTCCGAATTAGGTGAAAAGCTTGGTTGCACCTCTGGCAAAAGCTTCATAACAGTCGCTGGGTGGAGTTCAATCTGTTCCAAGTTCTAGGTATTTAGTAGTTCCTAGGTGTTGGCAGTCAGCAATTCCAGTAGCTTTATGGTATGCAATGCAGGTTAGGAATATCCGAGTTTGCATTATCCACGTACAGTACAGGACTAATCGTGTAAAAGCTACGCGCGTATGGCACAGTTGGTTTTGGTCCTTTTGGTGATATACATGTAGGGTTTTTGGAACTAGCTCGATATATTTTAGCAAAACACTATTTAGTATTGTGCATTTATTCGTGCTTTTACAGAGAACAGTTAATTCGAAGCTACTTAGTATAATATTAGACCATTTGATAAGCCATAAATCCGTCCCGTAGTTTCTTCCACTGTTTCATTTAAAGCTGTAGTTATCGATGGATCAAGTGAGGATATCCCACCAACAGCCATCGTTTTTGCTTGTGACTACCCGTTTAATGCTAAAGTTTATTTTAGAGCATGGGGCTACATGCACAGTCGAGGTCCAAATTTTGCGGGACACACCAGTCAAGCCTGCTAACCAACTCCCTTAGGTACGTTGAATTGGTGCGTCAAAATCTTGGCAATAGCCTCCACGGTCATTAATGACGAGACACTGCGCTTACGTGAAAAATAGGTGTAGTGCTTGCTATGACCAATTAACGGCGGCGTAGTAAGTTCACGGTATCCGGAATTGTTCGTGTGTACGTCAAATCGCGGACGTGTCGTGGCTGGCTTGGATGTAGACTGGTAGGTGTTGAAAAATTTTGTAATCAGTTGGAACCATGGAACTACCATGTGATAATCGACCTTAATTGACTCAGAAAAAGCATCCCAGTAAAGCAGATTCTACTCAAAATCATGTGGATTGCAGCTAAGGAGAATTAGCCAGTTCCTGTTCCTTCCATTGGTCTTGAGTTAGACCAATACTGGTTATCGCCACCGTCTGTACAATGCACAGACAACATAGTATTTGCACTCTCTGTGAATTCGGCACCAGAACATTTTTATATCACCAGTACTGGATGTACCGACTGTGTGCAACCTAAAATCTGCTCTCTAGCAAAGAACTGCTCCCTTGTAAGTCCTTCTATAACGATCAGCTTAGAAAAGTTAATGTGTATGGATTTGAACCGCGTCAGCTAGAGTACGCATGGATATCAGGATCCAACTAAAGTCCATAGAGTATGGGTTAGTGCTGAACTAAAGGAAGCGATTACATCCAGTTTGTTTGTATTTTTGCTGCTCTTTTTGGTAGGCATCACGCCTAGTTTAAGTAGTAGCCCAAATCCTATGATTCAGCCATGACTAATTGCGGCATATAACAGCTTTTGGAATTTTATGCACACGACGAGAAGCCCCAATAAAAAATGGCCTGTGCTGTTTGCGCACTGAGTTCTCGGCTCATCGGCAGACATCCTCATTTCAAGATGCGTCCTAAGGCAAAGATATCGCATAACACAGAATGGTTCCCTAAAGATATATGGTTTGCTTTAGGATATTGAGACATACAACCTTAAGTTGGCATAAATTTTAAGGGGAAGAACGATAGAAGTGTACTCTGGCTTTCCAAGTAGCAAGGTATAAATACGGTTTATTTTAATTTCTCTTCCACGAGAAGTAATGAGACTGTGGTATTATTAGTGTTTCAAACTAGCACCGCTTAAGTAAAACTTTTCCGTAAGTGAGAGAAGACAAAGGACTGTAGGCTATGTTAATTATTTAGGGATTCAGATAAAACAGGATTACCAAATTTAGCAATGGAGGACATACCGAATTTACGCACACAGTAGTTGTAAAGCACAATCTCCTCAGCCACTGCCGCATATTGGGGATGATCACACATTCATAGCCATTCACGCATAAGCTGCAGAAGTAGTATAACTTGGCCTTACATAGAAAACTGAATGTCAGAAATGTGTCGTGAGCTCCAGGCTATCACGTGCAACCTTCACAAGCTGGCGACAAACATGAGCCACTGCACGCATGCATACGGAGCTAACACATGCACGTAAACTGTCACATAGACTGTGCGTTGTAGGATTGTTTGATGCCCTAGCCTTCTATTCTTTAGCGTTTCATTATTATATTCTAAAACGTTGACAATAAGCAGACAGCCTTAACTGGAACGGATCTAACGCTTGTAGGACAAGTCGGCTTTGGAGGGTATACACTTGCCATATTCTTGTTTTCTGGCTGATTCACCTTGCCCAAGACCAGTGTAAACTGTAAGCGAGAGAAGTCATTCTGAGGCTTAGTTCTAATGAAGCTTTTTCGTCCACCCTTTCAAGTAGCTCTTCCCAGCATAACTTTTGATGGTTTTGCTCGCTAGCACATGGTATACGCAGACTTTTTTCATTAGTTAAGTACTGTGTTCATCAGACAAGGAAATGGGGTGGAGGGACTTTGACTACCATTGACATTTGGGCTGGTTGAGTCAGTTGTGTCAAGTAGCGCAGCTAGAGCGGGCAATGTTTTCATTGCATGAACATTTGGGCTAGGCCTTGTAGTAATATTCACGGTGTCATTGTTTGCAGCTGGAGTAATTCTAGCTATTGTTTCGGAGTTGGCACTCGCTACTATTACAACTGTTAAGTTTATCCATCAGTTTATCCTTGCTCATCCTAATGGTGATGTTGCTTTCAACCTAGAGGATGATGTAGGTTTTGTTTCCCTTTGCATGCAGAAGGCATGGATGCGGTTAGATACACTGATGGAAAAGGTGACTTGTCTTCAGACTTTGGGGTGACCTGAGTGGAAGCTACATGTAAACTGGAGGGGTGTAGCATCACTACAAACTTTTGCCGCTACACACTATTTGACACGGTTTGCAATGAAAGCTGATGGCTTGGGAGGTACTGGCACTAAAGACATTAAAGGTAGTAGGATGAATACATTTGTAAAGCTTTTGCACAGTATTAGGCAGCGTATGTCCATCCATCCATTGAAGAGAGCACACTGGATTGTTTTGGTGCAAGAGATGGCACTTTTGCCACAGTCCACCCATTCAGACCTAATATTTTCAGAGAAACATTCTAACAACAGACACCTTTTGTTACAAATGTCTAATTAAACAATAATTTTCAAGGTTAGGTTAGAGCCTCCGTCGGAGACCGGGGTCCAAAGAGCGATCACAGCCCCCAATCGTTTTCGTGCCCATGGCCCGGACTCCCTCCCACCTGCACTATGTAAAGATAAAGGTGAGATCATCTGCAAAACACTGACCTTTATATTAGAACCTATCCGTATGGAAGAGATTGCCCCGGTTAATTGGAGCGAATGGATTCTAGTGGCAACATATAAGAAGGGCAGTCGCACAGACTGTTCTAACCACAGGGGCATTAGCCTAACGCCAGTTGCGACAAAATTACTGGCCTGGATTCTCGTTCGTTGCTTCACTGTGGGATGAAAATCTTGGGTTAGGGAAGAACAGTCAGGTTTCTGCTTAGGTGGTGGCTGTATAGATCTTATATTTACTTTGCGGCAGATGCTAGAGCAGCGCCACTCATACCACAGACCGACAATAGCTGTGTTCCTCGATTTCAAGAGTGCACTTGGTTCAGCCGATCAATACATTCTGTTTAAAATACTTAGGCGCAAGTGTGTTCCCACGAAATATGTGAGCATTTTACTTGCTCTATACTCGACCACTACAGGCCGCGTCAGGGTCTACGGTGGCCGATTGGATAGCTTTCCGACCACAGATGGCGTTCATCGGGGTTGTCCAATTTCCCATTTTTGATCAATTTCGTCATGGATTCTAGCATGGAATGTTTCCTTGCGGAATCTTACGATGTAGGCGTTGAAGTGATGTGCGAGGAAAGCTTAGTTGATCCTGATTATGCCTACGATGTCTTGCTTTCTAACGATGTTGTGGCGGCACAATCAATCTTGAATAACCAGTCTAGAGTGATTCCAATATTTGGTGTGCACTTTGCACCTTCAAAGTGTTGCTGCAGGACCACCGGCTACTTTATAACCCCTTGACCCTTGCTAACGTGGAGCTCAAAGTGTTTGATAAATTCAATTATCATGGCAGCTGCATCAGCAACGATGGGCTCATGGAAACTGACGTCAGCTCACACATTGCAAAGGCCAGAGCTGCCTTCTTGAATCTGCGGCATCTACGGCGACAGAAGGGAATTTCCCTCCGTCTGAAAAACCTGTATACAAGACCTCATTGAGGGCCGTTCTGCTCCATGATAGTAAGAATTGGCCTCTTTGGTCTGAAGATCTGGGGCGGCTTCAAGTCTTTGTTCATCGTTGTCTGTGAAGCATTGCTGGTGTTGGAAGCCACCAGCCTGTCGGCAACGATGATGTGCATAGGCGAGTACTAGGTAATGATAATCATGGTACTTCCCTAAAACAACAGATAGCACTGAATAAGTTGCGTTGGCTCCGCCTGGTCACCGCTTACCTAGGAGGGCCTTGTTTATTCTACCAAGTGTATGGTGGCGCAAGGCTCGAGGTGAGCAGAAGTTGACTTGGCAGCGGGAAATGAAGTCACTGACGACCAAACTTAATGCCGTTGTTGCGTCTCGTCTTCCGGGCTGGCGTCAACATGACTCGCCTTGTGCTTGGCTCAAAACTTTACAAGACATGGCTCGCAACCGACACATTGGCGCCTATGCTGCCGTCTCCTAATCGGATTGCTTTTTTAAGATGTGTTTGGTACTGACTTATCTGTGGGGTAATGGCTGTTTATGACGCGGGGCAGTGAAAGCCGCAAGGAAGCTGTCTCGCCGATGCCGCCTTATCTTTGTACGAGAGCTAGCTGTTTGTGACGGTATGTTGTCTCCACAAGGTGTAGGCTTCTTGACTCTCTATGTTTGCTTAAGGTAGTAAGGTTTTCAGGTAAGTCACCCTTCTCTCCTTCTTAGTATACTTTACTTCATAGGTCATCATGGTTGTATGGCATCAAGGTATCAATTCAGATGCCTAATGTACTGCTGTTGGTGATGCTGATGATGAATTTTTACGCGCGTTTGGATAAAACTCAATGTACGGCAACTCGAGGTTACGTCGTTGACATTATTCCTCAAACGTGAGCTATGCGTAGTTTAAGCAAATTTATAGAACGTATTTGTGCAACCTGTAGTGGTTAACACCTCTTGCTAATGTCACCCTATACTAATTCATAGCAGACAATTTGGTGGTCTCTGTTTCCATAGGTAATTGCAAACCTTGCATTACTCAGTTTTACAAAAATAGCTTAGAACAGGTATTTTCTAAAGTTGAAAGTTATGTTAGTGGCGTTTGTTTGCCATCATTCTGATAGTAATGCGTGTCAGAAGACATAAAAAGTTAAATGCTACCTGGCTTATGTTTTGGTTTTTATGTGTGTGTATGCGCATATCCGGTAGCGCTTAAAAAGTCATTTCTTTTGTTGCACTAATAACTGTTGCGTTGTAAGTATAAACAAGGTAGTCAAAATTAACAAGTTTCCCGCACAAGTTCATGAGGTGTAAAAGTGCAGCGCGGCATATCTATTTGATTACAATTAAACAATTACTAGATTTGGCCTGTTTGTTTTTTGAATTATATGCAGTAAATTTAATAAAAACATTACTTATCATTGTTAATATTACATGTAATGGACATCTCATTTTTGCTCAACCTACACAGGGGAAACTGTGTGGGGCCTTCGATTTATCTACAACTGAGTATGTGGACGATATCTTATGGGGCTACCTACATCTGCAAGGTGTTTCACAAGACAACGCAATATGGTACTTTCTTGATGAGATTCGACACATTCCGAGGTATGGCGTTCGTACATTCCGTGGCATGGTGAGTTCAGTACATCAGAATCAATGTGAAGATTAGAGAGGTATCAAATATATTATATCTGATGAAAACTCAATTATTATAGCGCATGGGACTCTTAAAACACGATACGATAAATAAATCGTTATTGTCCGTTTATTGAGTACGGTAAAATAAAAAGTGGAACGGCCTGGAACGGCGAAGTTGGACAACAGCACATCACACATAAAACTGCCAACCTGAATTAACCTATTAATTTTTACAGTTTCCAAATAACCATACATTGATTAGAGGTACATTTTAAAGCAATCGTTGTGTAAATGGATTGCGATGTGCAATCCTCATGTAGACCGCGATTCACACTGCAACGAACCTTGGCCTGCATGTCCCGGTAGCCAGAAAGGTGCGACTTTTGGCTAATATTCCAGTAGCTCCGGGTTCGAAGCAGGCTAAGTTCACCTGATGTGATCAGATAAGATAGGAAAGTACTGTGGTGCCCATTGCTTTCAAGCGGACAACAATCAGTTGCTAACTACACGCTGATATGATAACAACTGGTTTGTTAGAAGAGATCATATGAATGCTGCCAAGTTAAGTTTTACAATTGCAGTTATGCTAATGTAATATGTCTACATACAGTTACTCTGCATTCATGCTCCATAAAAAGAAAGTCGAGAAAATGTAAACCAAATTTTTGGTAATCAACAACAAACTATTTTAACAAATGGAAAAGAGGAGATGCAAAGTTAAAAAGATAGGATAATTGAAATATAGCTAAGTTCCTCAGCAGTAAACTCTTTGTCATTTTTTCGGTAACTGTAACACTCAGAAGCATATCGAAGGTGACAACGTTGCTAACTGGTTGACTGAGTAGTAGCTTGCCCTAATGATCATGCGTTTGAAAGATATCAAGTGGTTTTGTGCAGAGTACTAATACCTACTATTCAGGTACGATGCGCGTAACCGAGCGCAAATACCAGAACGCAGAAGGGGCGAACGCAGCAGGCTGCATTCGTGCTATGCAACCAAATAAGGAAATTAATGAAACGGCCAGAAGCAAACGTCCTTGTCGCGACTTATGAAGTGAAGAAAGACTGAGCAAGATGCAGACCAACATGACCTTAGTGTAAATGAGGTTAAAACAAGAAAGAATAATATCAAATTTATCGGCAATAAAATTGTACATGAAGGACAGTAGTTATCTTTTGGAGCGCTACTGGTGCAAATGGTAATAAAAAACCGTGTGAAAAATTTGAACGAACATTTTACAGTATATTTGGTTATTTTTCAGCATGTGGTACTTAGTGTTCCCCTAATATTGATAAAGAACCAAGTGATCGAGGAATGCAAGTTTAAGTTCACCTGGGACTTGAACGTTAGGAGTCCTGTTACAGTTCCTTCTTGAGTGGATTGTTGAGCCAAGAGTTGTTAAATTTTTCCGAGTTCTTTATGACCTAAAACGAAACACCCTATCACCTTCTAGTTTCTACACACTTTTTCTGCAATAGTAGTCTCGGCTGTGCCAGTTACATAAAGTTAGCAAGACTCCAACTGCTAAACGATTCTCCTACATGAGTCCAACAATTCCTACGAGTTGATTGCACCTTTTTCTAGCCTCCCGGTACCGATACGTCAGCCATCTTCTATACCGTTTGTTGAGCAGGCACCTGTCATGAAGGCCATGCCGTTTCACCTCGTGACCGGGATGTATGAAACAGAGATACCTGTAAGGTTTGGCTTGAATTTTTCCCTGGATGCCTGGACAGTATCGTCCTCCGAGATCTCACAACGCAAATCTAAAGCCTTATGTCGCATTGCATGATAGTTCGTGTGCTATATATCTGGATGTTATTCAACGGTAGCCTGGTGACATCTAAATAGAACACGCCTGAACAGCAAACAATCATGATCACTAGCACCTAGACAAGAATCGTAAGTAATGTCATTTACAAACTCGGGTGACAGCAAACACAAAGTCACAATGGACGGTACTTTAGTGTTCATATAGTTAGTGTGATGGTTTACGAACTGATGCAACGGTACTTATAGCGTGAGTCCAAGACTATCTGCACGGGTAATGCGTAGTCAAACGGCAGACCTTATGGTATAGAACTAGTAAATATTAGTCTAAACGGAAACGGTAACGGGGCTCGGCTCTCAGAAGTGACACAGCGGACTGCATTTGATGGTCTACAAAAGGACGTGGAAGAATGAAGCGATCTTCAGCACTACACATCAATGAACAGATGAGTCTTAAACCTAAAGTAGGTTAACATGACCGTAGTGTAAGAGTGCTTAAAATAGAAAACACTAATGTAAAATGGTAGAAACTCCTCACATATAGACTCAGTCAGGCAGCCATCAAACGCCCGGAAAAGAACTGTACGGCCACTTCATCTTTTCGGGAATCCTCAGCAGTGTGCATTGCATCTGACCCTCGAAGGACACGAACCCGCAACTCGACTTTTTGTGAGGGCTGCTATGTCACCTGCACGGGAGTGACATGGAAGCCAAAGGATAGTGAGCGGCACTATAGCACACCTAGTAACTTGGTCTTGACGGGCGTTGCCGACCCCGTGGGAACAGTCAAGCTGCGGATTCAAGCACTAGGACAGTTGTATAGAAGGAGCATTCTTGACGATTCTCGAAAGTATGGAACGGGAGTACAGTGCTTTACCGGGTGCTTGATAGCGGTCTGATTGAGTGTAAATGTAACAGATGTCATACTGTTACCATTCAACTCCACTTGCTACTGTTTAGTAATGTAAAACGGATAAGTAATAAAATTGCACATAAAAGTTAACGGTTATCGTTTGGGGATGCACAGTGGTCACTAGCTGCAGGTGATGCACAGAAAGCAGAGTTCACACTGATTACCAAGTACATTTAAGACAAATACTGCATTATGCAAACCGAAAACTAAAAATGACGCGTCTAGGCAAATAATACGCATTTCCACATGGGATAGGAGTGAAATATCAGAGTGAACGGACGGACCAGGCGAGCCAGCCAGACAGCCAATAATAGACGGGTGTAACGGATTCGATTAGTGGACACAGATTGAACGACATTTGTGAGTTGCTCATTATTATTTTAATTGAGCCAAATGAGGAACCTCATCAACTCAGACGGGTTGTTAGTTATGGACATGAACGTTCAACTTTTATCGAAAGGTTTAGCTTTGCAAACATGTTATAGTTTTTCCTAGTTGCGTTTGCTGGAAAAACGCTTGTCCCTGAAGGACTGAGTTCTGCAACAGTGTGTCAAAGAAGGCCAAGACGATCACCACTAACCACTTTCGGATTCTGGTCGCATCACCATCGGCTGTTCGTATGCATGTCTCTTTGGACATAGATGAACGGAACTTGGTAGAAAATCAGCGTCTATGGTGAAGCAAGTGGATGGATTTTTTTACACATTAGTACGTTTGGACGAGCAACCGATGTCGGATTGCTAGGCCATATTTCGACACGTTACCGGTGATGACGTGTGCCGTGTGCTAAATACATTGCACCAGGTCGAAGACAAAGGGCCTGAAGACTTAGAGACGGCCAATTAAAGTTCAGTAAACTTTGCGTAGGCCAAAGCAATGAGACCTATCACCGCCACTTTCCCTTTTCGCGAAGCAGTGGCCCAGTTTAATCCGTTGACGCGTAAACCACTGAGGTAAGGATGTTGACCCGGTCCCGAATTTTCTGTAAATGTATAGGCGATAGTCTCATACGCGATCGTATCGTTCTAGGAATCCATGGTGAATGTACGACAAAGCTGCTTTTGCGGCAACCCAACTTATCGTTCCAGTAGTGCGTCGATTTCTGCAACAGTGAGCCTTCCAAAACCCATCAATACTACCAAATAAAACTCGCAACTGACGCGAGATTTATGTGCCTTTTCCAGAAGCCAAACAGCAGAGGCTACTAACTTGAGACCAAAGATGCGCAGATTTTGTGCTGTGCGACATCCACGAAGAGTGCCCAGCGTGGAGACGTAAATGCGTTAACTGTGGAAACAGGAACCATTTTGCTCGTTTCTGTCAAGCAACCAATGTGAGTACGCTCGTTCGTGAGGTGTCTCTGAGAGTAGCACGCAAATGTATACACGCAAGACTTTTGATGGAAAACAAAACCGTAATCTTCTAGTTAGACAAGATGGCTACTGTTAACATCCCAACCAGGAATCACTTTCCCGGGGTGTGCATCCGATGACAGCGAGAATGCCTGCCCATGTGGAATGGTTATAGACTTCACCCGAATAGTGCAAATTCAATCAAAGTGGTTAACCCAAGGGACGGAGCCTCACATCGGCTGGAGGTTGCGAAGATGGAGGAGCTCAAGCTGATTCTCAGCAGTTATACAATTCTGTCTCTCGGTTTCGTTATTTTTAATCATGATGATTCCGTGCACCCTTGCGAGCTAGAAACCGACATTAGTCACCAGTATCCGTCTGTGTTTAGCCTGGGTTTAGGAAGATTTGCAGAACGGCTCTACTGTCCTTAAGTCAACGGATGCGACCGACTGCGCTAACGGCTAGAAGAGTTAAATTTGCGCTGCGTGACAGGTTCTCCGCTGATTTGACCAAATTGGTGAGGGAGGGTGTGATCACCAAATTTGACGAACCAACAGACTGGGTTAGTCAACTAGCAATCAATAAGAAAAAGACGGATGAACTACACGTTTGTATTAACCCGAAACCTTTGAATCAAGTTCTGCGTTGAGAGCGTTATGGGCTAAGTACCCAAGAATATGTTTCGCCTAGTTTAGCCAAAGTTAAGTATTTCACGAGAGTAGAGCTATTTTCTGCATTCTGGTACGTGATTCTAGATGATGAATACAGATTCCTGACTACCTTTGCCATGTCGTTTGGATGCATTTACCGTTTGGTTTGAAGCTGACAAATAAAATATTTTCAAAAATGAATGGTGCGGACAGTGGACGATGTTGTAATTTACGGCTTGACGGAAGAAGAGCATGACGCTAAACTGCATCGTTCCTTGCAGTGTTGTGTGCAAAGAAACATCAGGCTTA